TTCCATTCGCACTCGCATAAATTACTCGTAAAATAGATTTCGCAGAAAATTGTAATTTTCGAGAAAGTTATGAGCCGCACAATGCCGGGTAACAGCGGCAATCAAATGATATACGAGCTGGTCTCTCCCAGCCTTAGCTGCTAATCAAATTAAAAATGATTGCGCAAGTGTCAAAAGTGTAGCTGACATTGTTGCTGATTACCTGGCAGCGATGTGCGACATGTGCGCATACATGCGTAGACATTCGTAGGCACTGTAAATAGAGCACAGCCACGAGACGGATGCGTACAATATCTTCCGGCTGCTCTCAGCTGTTGTTGTTGTTGTTGTTGTTGGTAAGTGTCAACGAAATTTATCACACACTCGCAAGACATTTGTAACTGACGTAGACAGCGACATTGCAGAGGCGTGTGTGGGTGGGTGTGTGTGTGTGTGTGGGTGAGTGAGGCTGTTTGGCAGAACTTTGCATATCAGCGCGTATGCGTACACCTGTCAAAGTTATTCATAATTCAGCCGTCGAGCACAATTCTTATGCTGTGTTTGCAGCATTTTGGCACTTTTTTTCCTTTCACTTTTTTACATATGTTGCTATTAATTTTTTGCTTCGTCGCGTAACAAATTGAAGGCGTCGCGTAATCCGCGCGGCTGGAGTCGGCGTCGGCGCCCAGTCAAGCTATTAGCTGCAGGACGTTGACATCCTTGTCCAGGTGTCAGCCAGCTGTGTGTGTCTGCGTGTGCTCAAAAATATGATTGAATGTTATTTGATGCGAATTTGGAAAATTTCTTGATGCGTCTGTTGTTCGGCCTGGCATTTATGCAAATGTAACAATTTGTTTAGCAGACTTTGCGCCTGTCACCGAAACATCATGGAATTTCTGAGCGGGACACACAACACACTTTAAAGGGCTGTTGAGTCAATTGCGCCGCCCTTTAAGTATTGCCGTACAAGTCTGCAGTATATATGGGACTTTAGTCAGCTGATGCTTTTGGCGACTGCGACAAAGTGAAACCACTTGGGGCATTCGATGAATGCATAAATTACAGACTTTGCTCTCTTTTTCACAGCCTACTTAACGGCGCAACGAGTGCTATTTTATTTTATTTTACTTTTATATTATTTATTTTTATGTATAGTTAATACGATATTGGCCGTTAAGCGGCCATCATATCGAGTGTCTGACCTTGCGCCGGGCTTAACGCAACACATCGAGTGGCAATTTATGCAACTTTGTGCGCTATCGATGAAAATCAATTTGCACAAGCTGAAATCTAGCCAGCCAAACAGTCAGCCAGCTCTGCTGGCCACCCACGCAACAGTGGAAACAAATTGGCCGCATTCAGAGCTGTCCCGGGCACTCACAAATTATCTTTAAATCCCGACTGGGTCTGGCTGGGGTCCCTCCATCATTCCGATACATACGAACATACATATTTCAATTTCAATGCCAGCGCGTCTGGGATATTCAAATGAGCGCAAAAGGGACCCAGCAAGTGAACGAAATGCTCAATCAAATCAAAGTCCCCACATCCAAATACCCAATAAGACAAAGCACAAAGGACACACAGCGCAATGACAAGCCCGGCCAAGTGTCAGTGGGCCACAGTGGCGCAGGGCGCAGACATGCGAGGCGAGCAGCACAGCATAAGCCTAGATAAGACATCCCAGAGAGAATCTGAAGTGGAGCAACCTTAGCTTCGGTTTCGTATGCGCATTGATAAGTTTTTCCCATTTGGGCAACACTATTTATGGACGTAAGCCGAATGTGTGCTTCAATCAGCTAGAAATATGCAAGATATAATCGTAAAAGCTAATTATGAAGCAACTCTTTGTCTTTCCATGTGAGCTGTAGGTCTAATTTTGGATTTAATTCGTTATTGCTATTGAGTATGTATTTATAAATGAATCAGATTACAATTAATCTCTTAATTTATAGCTATAAATATGTTCAATTTATTAACTATAATGAATGAGATTTTCGGCTTAATTGCTAACAATTAAAGTATTAAATTCGTAATACATACTTATGTAATTAGTAATTTGTTTATTTTAATGTTCCCATTTCATTGCAAAATAAAATAATATATATATAAAAATCTTAAAAGTATATCTGAATAAATACATACATATATTTATGTCTGAATTTCCCCATTTCTCTTCAAATGCATCACGATTGGCTGCTACTCTTGCAATAGTAGTAGTACGAGCCAGAGAGCTTGTATTGAGTTGTAAATGTAACAGCTTGAGCTTGCTAGCTTCTATTCCTTAAATATCACTGCATGTGAGAGTGAGAGAGACACAAATGTCGTTGGAATGCTGCAGTAGTATTAGTGCAAGACTGAGGCTCAGTTTGTTGCTATCCGAGTGAGCGTGCGCCTAAGCTGGCTGATATTCTTTTACTCTGCCTGAGTGTGTG